AGAGCTGACGTTAAAATCTATAGCATAGTTACTAACGTTATAAGATATATTCATTTTATATTAATTAAAAAACTTAATCTCAAGGAATCAAAATGACATATTAAATTTTCTTTTGGAAGAGATACAGCATTTATGTTGAAACAATAAATAAATAGGAATTATTGATTATTAGTCAAAGTTAACATTTCTACGAGATGTTAATTTGTAATGTCTTCGAGAACAAATGCGTTGATGTAATTATATTACTAATCGAGAAAAACTAAGTAAGTCGAAACGTTTTACATTTTGTACGATTATGACAATAAATTCAATATATAATAATTACTTCTTGTAATTGGTCGTTATAAATCATTAACCTGTAATTTGCTTTATAATCTCACACGAGCTTGTTACCTTACAGATTCAAAGTAACTGGTTTGACATAATTGGTTTAAAAAAGAATAAATACTAAAAATATGTTAATAAGAATAATCCAATTTATATCTTTGTAGATGTAATATAAAGAAAATTAAATTCTTTGATATTTTTGATAAAGAAATTTATAATTGAATAAGTCCAGCAAACCCACCATCAGCTCCAGAGGGTTAATTTAAAGAGACGAGCAATTATGACTGTATGTTTGGTATTTTTAATTTTACATACAATGTATAATCACATTCTGCGAAACAAAAAACTTACTTTTCTACCTGTCGTCGTAATTTTAAGTACTCGGCTCTACTTTCGGGTTCCGATATGGCCAGTTCCCTAAGTTCCCAACTTAATTGGAAAGCTGTCATTAAGGGATCTGTTGAGCTCAAAGCTATTAAACTTGGACTTGCTAAAGCCTTATATTCGGAAATTCTAGTAGATGACAGACGTAACGGATCGCCTAAATCGTAATTCTAATTAGAATATAATATAATTTTAATTATATTATATCTTCTATCAGCAATTTCTATTGACAATTCATGTATTTTATAAAATCTGTATTAGGAGACGGACTAAATTTATTAGAATATCTCTCACCGATGGTTGCCTGAAGACAATCGTCACAGCCACACCTCACGTCATGCGGCATCGGCAAAGTAGCTCCTCGATCTAGTAAAAGTTTCAAAATTTCATAATTATTGCGCTGTGCCGCGAGCATCAATGGTGTAATGTCCATCGGATATCTGGCTGATGCTGGATCTACCTTCTGCCAGCTGTGTATGATCTGCTTTTCGGCTGTAATTAAAGTACACGAAAGACAAATAATAATTCTAATGCAAATAAATTCTAATGCAATTTTATTTTAATAAAATTGTTTATTTATATTTATAATTATATTTTTGCACAAAAGGAACAATTTTGTTATAGTATATAAAACTTAAGCAAATACACATCTGTAAATGATAATTTTATTGAACCATCAAAATAATTACATAAGAGTACAAGCATAATAATAAGATTTTGATATTCCAATTAATCAGTTTGACTGTTTTATATAATAATGTACACTTGAGGCTAAAATTGGGAAAAGATTTTTAAAAAATTGACATTTTTGAGATTTTTACTCAACATTTTATTAACAATGTTTTTTAAAAATAATTCTTCAGGTTTAAAAAAACTGTTATTGGATTGAAAGAAATATTGTTAACGTAAAAAATGTATTATTACAGATATCTAAATAAATAATTCCAAAAATGTCAATTTTTGAAAATGTTTCGAAACTTTTGACTGTAAATAGTATAACATACCTAATTGTTTTTAGATTTGTATCTGGTCCAACTTTTATATACTTTAGCAAAACCATTCTTTCCGATGGCGACAATCGAAATACTGTACTTGCGAGGTACTATAACTTGAAAATCAATTTTGACTCACAATTTTCAGTTATTTGGTTCGTAAGGAGTTCTTCATGTTCCAACAACAATTCGACCGCCTCTACGAATTCCTGATCAATTGCATGAAGTAGAGCATCTTTAGTTTCAACTCCCATCACAACAAGCAACTCAACCATTTCTAAATGTTCCGCCTCTATGGCCAGTGTAAGGGCACCACGACCCAAACTATCTACACAATTTACGTCTAACTGTTTTGCCTAAAACGTTCAAGCATATCGAGAAATTTCTTACTTTCTATCTTAACTCTATGAAATTGTTGCTATAATTTCTATACGCGAATTATTTCCAGAATTTCGTGGACATTTACAATTAAAGGTCAATTTTAATAAAACTAAACAAAATAAAATTTTATTCTTTATTTTCAGCAAATGTTATGAATTTCGGAAAAAGTAGTTTTTCATATTAAAATATAGATTTTTTTCTTTCTTTGCAAAATCAGCGAGGTTATTTATTCCAAAACTTCTTTTTATTTCTCCATTTTAATCTTTAAATTTTTCTTTAAAATTTCTATATTTACCTTATTCTTGTTTGCAAGTTGTAGAAGCCTCTTCACGTTAGACAAATCGCCTCTCTCTACAGTCAATAGATATTTCTTTTCTTCAAGAGTGAGCGGACGTGGAAGATGAAGCACATAATCATTTGTATCTTGGACCGTAGCTTCCATATCCTTACCGTTCTTCACGTCACTCATTTTGAAGCGTTCAGTTCACCTTTTTACTTCGATAATACGATTACCTTCAATGTCATTTAAATCGCGAACCAAAAACAGTCAAAATTATTTCTTTTTTCACCAGCACATCGATGGCGTATGACAGAATATCGAGTTTCGCAACGATGGTCTCTCGAAGAGAAGACAGTTTAAATGTTTTTTTATTCTTGCGCGAGTCTCCGTGTCACTTGACATCGATTATATAGAGGATGATGAAAATCGAATTACGCGTATTAATGTAGACCCTGTTTGTTGTGGGTGGCGCAGATGGCGATGGGGATAATACAATAGGGGTAATACAGCCGCCATTACCTACGATAGTGCATCTGTGCCTGTTGACTAATTTGCTTACCGATATCTCGTTAGCTGTTTAACGGATTGTACTTGCAATAAGAGTGCGTTCGCTAGAAACGAGGGAATGTCGACGAGTAAACAGAGCGAGTAAACCACCAACTCGATGCTCGCGGAGACTAAGCCGGATAATTCTCTATTGCCTATGCATTACATAATATTCCAATAGTCTCTGGTATATTGAAATAACAATCCTAAGCATGTGATTTTAGCCTACTTTGAAAATATTCAGTGTCCTTTTGATTGTAGTTTCTTTGATCCCCCGATAAAAATTTTATTATATCTCATTATTATAGGATATACGATAAAAATGCAAGGATTTAAAAAAGTTAATTTTTTAATATGTGTGTGTGTGTGTGTATGTGTGTGTGTGTGTGTGTGCGCGCGCGCGCGCGCGCGCGCGTGTGTGTGTGTGTGTGTGTGAAATATAAATATTTCAGATTTTTAATATTTTTTTTCATAATAATAAACAGTACAAAGTTTTTACTTGCTCGTTCGTTTACTTTAAACATAGTAAATAATATTTAATAAATTAATTTTTGATAAGTGCGGCATATATACCGAAGTTACCCTAGTTAAAAATGTAGTATATTTATATTACTTATTAAGGATTATTGTTTTTACCAGCTAATGCGGGGGGTATAAATAATTTTTTTTATTCATTTTCCCTTTTACAAAATTTATAAATTAATAAAGCCATTTGGAGGTGGCTGCCTAGGTATTGGTGCCTAGGGGCGGCAAAATGCTTAATCTGTCACTAAACGAGATAGTATTGCGTAAAATAAATTCGTATGCTGTATGTTATGCCTTAGTGCTTATTCAATGAAATTCAAAATTGATTGAAAAAATATGAAATAAGAAATTGTTAAAATAAATGTATATTTTAAAAAATAATAGAGAAATAAAATTTGACAGAATGTCTTACATAGATAACTAACATCTAGATAAATCGATATGTTTATCGATATGTTTTTTGTGACAACAAATTCACTCTGGGTCAAAAGTAAAGTTACATTTTTTATAACTAAAAATAAAGAAAAATTAATAAAAAATTTACACAAATATTTTTTCGTTATAAGTAGTCAATGATCATGTCGGAGAAACATTTAAGTTGCGAAGCAAATTGCAATATAGAGAAACAGTTGTAACTCATTAATGTGAAACAATTCAGCACGTACACATAGAGCGCATTAATAATTCTAATTATGCGGCAGATAAATTCATTATGCAGAAATCGTATTAAAATATCCTTTCGTGTGACTTATCGGCTTTTCCATAGTGGTGAAAGGTGAAAATGAAACAGGGAAAGCCGAGAGTTGCTTCATGACGGGATAGACATTTCAGAGAGAAAGAGTAATTATTAACTGTTTGCATGACGGCTTCGTCTCTTCTTGACTGTGTATAATACAAGTTCTGATCGGACTGATATTTGTTCAGTGGCTCATTGTCAGTATCTCAAAAATTTTATATTCAGTCATGGACATATCCCAAGATTCTTTTCGAGGAAGAAAGTTTATTAATTGTTGTTATCTAAATAACAATTTCTTTAATGAATTGATTTTTTGAAATTTATTATTTTTTTTAAATTTATCAATTAATTATTGTAAAGGTCAGAATGTCCTCTTCTTGTTCCTGATTTTAAAAGGAAAAAAAGTATTAGATTTCGTAAAAGTCATAACCTTTATTTCTTTTTTTAAAGAAAGTATAAATAAAATACACTTACGAACGAAATGTATAGTTGTGAATGGAGTACTTATATATTTTAGTAGCGACGCCAAGTGTTTATCCCTTTGCAATATTTTTTATATATTTTCGACCTTTCAGAATAAAAGAGAGAAAACTACAGTGTATAAAATGTATAAGTATATATATATATATAACAAAATTGTGTATAAATTGGATTAGATAAATTAAAATATTAAATTAATAATTTAAATTTATTTAAAGCAAGAGGACATTAATAAATTAAAATCTGAAACGTTAATAACCGAAGACGAGAGTAAAATATATTGTTTGCTCACAGTTTTATTGTTCTTGTTCATACCGTGAACAATGAATACGGCGAGTGAAAGTAGCGATAATAATGTAAGAAAACGCATCCTTTTTCCGCGCTGTTATCTTCCGTCCGGAAGAGGAAAGTTCTTTCAGAGACATCAGGAAAAAGATGATTGCCTGGCTGACGGTGGTGAGGAAAAACGTCCGATGAAAGGTAATATCAGCGCAATAAATCGACGCCACGATTGCAGATGCATCTCAGTGCCTCATCTTGTTCTTCGAATTTACTTCTTATTTTATGCGGAACAGTAGCGAAATGACATTATGCGTCGGAGAATTGAGGATACTATGGTTGTTGCTGATCTTGACATTCCTTCTTGATAGCACGTCAGCGATAAGAAAGATCAGCAAAGCTCCAGCTGGATTCCGATACTCCAAGGATTTAATCGCGGAGGCTACGGATCATAAAGGTGAATTACAACTGTCATTTTGTTTGTAAAAACATAAATAAAAATAATAAAGAAACTAAACTAAATAAAATCATTTAATAAATGAAATTTGTAATATAAAGAAATAAAGCAAATATTGCTAAATTTTAGTTGCGAAAATTATATAATATTTTTTGCAGGATTGTCTTTATTTTTGCATATATCCTCTTTCATCCGATAGCAAATGAAATAATTGTTTATGACGTTGATGAGCAGAAATTCAATAGCAAAGCTGCAGTGAATTATACGGATCTGCCGCCGATCGTGCTAATTCATATGTGTCAGAGAATTACAAGCGCACTCGATACTTGCACTGTTTCAATATGTCGCATTTGTAGCATTTAATCTTTAACAATTGATTCGGATCCATTTTTATTTTTGATATCATTACAATTCAAACAATTTTGTTGAAATATACATATTATGTGAGATATATACATATGGCGTGTTCTCATCGCAGTTGATTTATAATTTATTTAAAAAGAAAGTATTCAAACGTTCAAGTACTATTGACAGTAAAGTTTTTACATCTTATACTATTATTTTTCTGTTAACGAAAAAAGCAAACAGTTACATGGAAAGTATGGTTTTGTTAAAGTATTTAAAAATTTAACTTATAGATCTGAAAATAAACGTTATTAGACTATTAAAATAATGTAGGATGCTCAAGCTGATTACTGAAATGTCAAAACGTCTTTTTGCAGCATTGCTCCCTGTTCTTAAATATCCTACATTGATAGTCAAACAAAATTATTTTCAGATCTGCATCTGAGTTTAAGATTTCAACAAAATTGTTCTTTCCGCATAATTTTTTTCCGATATTTCTTTTTTGTTTACCTCGTGGATTGAAAACAATAATATTTGCAAGTATGATGATAACGGATGATCTTGAATTGTGAATGAGAAGCGAAAAGATTCGATTTATTCTGATTTTCCTTCTTAGGATAAATAATCTCCTTTTTGACGCACAAATTATTCATTAAACGAAAGCGAGAGCGTTGTTTCTCATCAATAATAAAAATTCAATATAGCTTTATTTATATTTTATTATATATTTCGGACAGGCGGCGACAGACATCATGAGGAGGGTGCCGGCTCGAAGCACGACGAGGATCATCACAATGTGCACGGTCATAAGGATGATAAGGTATCTATGACACTTCGTTTTCCAGCTGCTATTGACGTTCAGGCCATTGCCATCTATGTGTTGTCAACGCTTTCTTTCTTTTTTTATTACTTGTAATATAATCACCACAGGGCTTCGTATCTCCTAGTTCACAATCATGAGAATATATATTGCATAGTTTTTTCTTTTTTGTTACAATTATTATACCTGAAGAACAAGACAGGCTTCGATCTATAAGAAGCATTTGGCGCGCAATTGTAAAGTATGATATTTCATCTCTTTGTATTGAATATTTCTCGATATTGTTTTATATTTCTGCAAATTCCTCTCACTGCAGTGAGAGGAATTCTAATGCATGCATTTGGGGAAAGCGAGCAATGATTTTGTTTCTTTATGTCGGAATTGCGATATTCTATAAACAATACCACGAATTCATCAACGTTTTTTAATAGAACGGAAGCTTCAGCCACAAACCACAATGTCTGACGTGTGTTTGTCAAAATATAAGTAATATATTTTTGTCCTTCATTGTCCGTTATTATTATTATCATGTCAATCCTTCTCTGGAACTGACGTTAAAATCTGTATATGTTACAATTACTGACTGATGGGTCTGTAAAAAACATTTAATTTATGTTAATTAAAAAGGACTAATTAATTTTAAAGAATCAAAAGAACAATTCATATAAAAAAAGAATGTATAATATATTAAGTATATTTTAATACAAATAATCTAAATTTGTAAATGTAACATTAAGATAATTGAATTGTTTGACATTTTTGATAAAGAGATTTATAGTGTATGTTGCCAAATATTTTGTATACTGATAGAGCGGATTAAAAACTAAGTCGAAAAGTCCTCTTTCGCAATATTTAACAAGATATTAATTACAAAAAATTACTGAATGTTGATTTTTAATAATTTTTTACTCAAGTATCAACTTTACAAAAAAACAACAAGAGACAACAATTATTTCTTAATTTTCTTCTCAGAGTTCTAAGAATTTTTTTTAGAATTTTTTATTAACTTTTTAGTATTGCATTTTCTTACTGGTAATTATTTTTACCAATATGAGAAAATGCAATATTAAAAAATTATGAAAAAATTTTCAAAACTCTATGAGAAGAAAATAAATAATTGTCTTATCTCTTGCTGTTTTTTTTTATAAAGTTGATAGTATTTAAATAAAAAATTATTATTGAAAACCAATATTCGGTGATTTTTATTAATTAATATCTTGTTAACTATTGCGAAAATTGCATGGTAGAGGACTCATTGTCAATTTAATCCGTTCTACTAGCATATGAAATATTTGGCGGTCATTCTGCGACATTCTGTATATACGTATGGTGTGCGTGTGTGTGTGTGTGTGTGTGTATGTGTGTATGTGTGTATGTGTGTATGTGTGTGTGTGTGTGTTTATGTATATAATATTTTTTAACTTATCAATAACGTATAATTATTGATTGGAAAAGGGTTACAAAGCTTTCCACGAATTTGAGAAAAGCGATAAGGGACACCACGACAAGGAGAAACACAAGCAAGAATATGACGAGGAAGACGGCGAGGAGAAAAAGAATCACGAAGAAGCTGGCCATTATGGTGAGGAACATCATGGCGAAGAAGGTGAAAAGGAAGCAAAATTTGGCGAAGAAGGCAAGCACCAAAAAGGACATAGTACAAAAGGAGAACACAGCGTCTTCAAAAAGGTACAAATCGTGTAATGTACGCATCTCGTTGATCAATACGATTATTGTATATTCTAAATATTTCAAATTAATTTGTTTTGTTAATATCCGTTGTAATTTAGAAAATACATCAATTGTGGTTAATATAATTAAAAACAAGATAGTATATACACTTATACAGATATTAAAGCTTTTCAAGATTACAAGATCAAGCCGTACAAGGCTTCTATTCGACATGACTATCTGGGCTTCTATTATTTACATTTAACATTCTATATATCTTTAAGTTATATGTGTTAACAGGTTGTATCAATATGAATTCTAGAATTATTTTGAAAAATTATAATATTATAATTAATGTTTCATTTTTTAATTTATATAGTTATCCTACTAAAATGATTTATTAGAAATAAACATTATTATAAATGTATTTAATAATGTTATTTTGCAAAATGAAAAATAAAAATATATACATATATACTATATTATAATTATTAGTATAAACATTTTTAATATAAAGATTCTAATATTTGTGAAAATTTTGAATTAACATGTAAATTGTGTCCAGGATGAATATGAGAAAAAGCACGATTTTTATGATGAATATCACGAGGATGGAGGAAGCGAAAAACACGGTGGTTGGCATGAAGAACACGAGGGCAAGAAAGGTGGACATGAAAAGAAGGGTCATCTGCAATCGGGACATCACGAGGTCATTATTTATTAAAATTATTATAGTTATAATAGTCGTAATTATCATACTTATTAATTAATATTAATAATAATCCTAATCATAGTATATCCTAATCATAGTTATATTAAAGTTATTTTCTTTATCATTTCTTTATCAAATGTTTTTAACAACTATTACGTCAATCCAACAGCGATTTCGTTTTTATTTCAGGGTCATCATGGTGGACATAAAAAACATGAGGGAGGTCATCATCATCACGAGAAGAAAGGTCATAAATCGGCAGAGGGACACGATAGTCATCATCAACATGATGAGAAACACGGCCATAAAGACGGACATGCATCAGGACATAAATGGTCGAAATCAAATCATCATTGATGAGACGCGACAAATTTTATATTTACATAATTGTCAAATGCGTTTTATTTACATCCGATTTGTTGAGAATTTTACGGATAGATTGAGGTTGTATATTGAGTGACAAGTACCATGTGCATTGAGCTTATTAATTACTCGAGTGGACACTTACGCTTTATAAATTCACTAAATGTTTAATACTATATACACATTATATTTAGTACAAATTGGTTTATAATACAATTAAACAATTTTTTCTTGTATTTATTTTCATCTGAAGAGTGTATAAAATATTATTAATCTTTATTTAATTGTAAAACATAAAAATAATGAAAATTGTGATGTTGGATTGTCAGATACGCAAGTAATTACATTAAAAAACCTATGTATGTAATAATGTAGGATTAAGAAGACTTATGATGACAGCAACAATCTTATTCTTGTCGTCAAACAAGTGACGTACAAATTTGTTACTAGATTTTTACAATTATAATATATAAGTTTTATTTAATATATGTATAATATAATTTAAATATAAATATAAGTAAAAATATATGTAATATAATAAATGTATAGTCATCTCTCTTACCTTATAGAGCGAGTATAATTTCTCGAACATTGCGTCGTATTGTCACTTTTTTTATTAACTCTGATCGATGGGAAAAGTGAAAATCTTAGCATAAAACTGGTTGCGCTTCAATGCACGTTGTATTGTGCGATTAAACAACTCGTACATTCTGATGCAGATGTATGGCATCAAGGTAATCTTGCGAGTCTTCGTCTTCTTTAGCAAAACTAAAATTCTTACATTTATCTTATTTTAGCACACTTTTATAATTATGATAATTTGATTTTATTTTTAATTGCGATCATTTAGGCAATTGCAATTAAATTTTTTCTGAGATTAATGTCCAATCATATATCCCATCATTTGGCATAAATTTGATTAAAAATTTGAGAGCTACAAAAGGATAAAAGGTTAAAAGGATTACTTTTTATATTATCTAGTAAAAATATAAATTGTTTTCGATTTTCATAGTGTGTATACGTGTTAATTATTTAGTATTATCTTTTTTCTGTTATCTAGTGTTTCTGTAATTAATGTATTTTGCGATGTATTAACACAATTATTTGGTGTAGTATATAATCTCGCTATAATGTAAATATATTACCGAGAGAGGATTGATTGAAACATAATTGTGCCCGATGACTCTATTTTTTGATGAATTTACTATCCAATTTCTAATAATCGATTATTGTATGTACATACAATTAATCTGCCAATGTATGCACGGTGATTAGCTTGATTTTAATGCAAATTTATTTAGATGCTGCTAAGCAATTGTTCCTCAAGTTCGCAATTATATGATGAACAAACACAGAAAGAACAATTTAATAAAAGTATCTAAAAATTTAGCTAGATATAGATCTGAAAATAATTTTGTTGTATTAAAACTACAAAATAATTATATAGAACGCGTGAAATAATATAGATGTTTAATCAGCTTAAAGATTTTTTGTTATTTTCATAATTATTTTAATGATATAACAAGATTATTTTCAGCTTTGTTTCCGGCTAAAAAAAATTTTCAGATTTTCAGATTTTAGCAAAATCATTCTTTAATAACAGAACCATAGATAATAATTAAAATGTACAAACTAGGTAAAAATTTATAATTTAAATTATAAAATTGAAATAATATAGCATAATATAAACAAAATTAAAATGACACCTCACTTTAATTACCTATTTATGTTATGATCGCAACATATAATATATTTACATTATTCCTAAAATTGCAAGTAAAATTAATTTACTTGTTATTAAAAAAAACTGTAAAGTTTTCAGTTGGACATATATATGTTTACAGCTGAAGAAATAAAATGAAATTAAGATATACGCACAAATCTTGTACAAAGCAGGAAAGAAAACGACTTTATATATATATATATATATATATATATATATATATAATATGTTATATATTATATAATTGTATATATAAAAAAGAGAAATAAACCTATTACGTTTGCTACTTCTATTATTATCACCAAGGAATTTTTGAGGAGTCTTTAATTTGCATGAGACTGAAAAGATAAGGGAGCCATTTCATACGATGTTTCTATCTTTTCGAGTTTCTCGTGTTCGATTTTTCGAAGTCGTACGTTAAATTTCACACGGGAATAAGAAAGATCGCTGCGTACAATATCGAGGTTAGAAAACATCCGTCGTCGCAAATACCGCTGGGACGATAGATTTATGGGGATTGCATTGAGAGATTGTTAAAGATGACTATTTGCCTGTGTAGAACTCGTAGTTAAAAAACTGTCAAAATGCTTCATGTGCCTGACGAAGTTCATGAATTCCAAGATGGCGAGAAGAAAAAACTGATTCCATGGTCGTATTCATCGATGCGTATTTTATATGGTACCTAAAATCTAGTACCTAAAATTACAGATTATCTTTTGTCCAAAAATCATAAATTTGTAGATTCTTTGGCTAAGAAAACTGATGTTTCTTTGATACCGATTGATGAAAGTAATTATTTCTCGCAAGTTCTCAATTTTTAACATTATAGATCTTTTATCGCTCATATTTTCATGAAAAATTATTATTTGTTAAATATTAACAAAAAAATATTTCAAAAATACTAGATGATTTAAACCTTGCCATTCATTTCATCAGGGCGAGGAGCTGATACTGATCATACCAGTATCGTACCAGCAGAAGTTCAAACCTGGTATCTTTGAAATATATATTTTGTCAATGTTTGACATTTATTTTAACAAAGTCATGAAAATATGAGCGATAAATGTCTACGAAACGTTGTCATTAGCAGTAGATAAAAACATAGCGATAACCCGCAAACCTTTTGGTATCTCTGAAGATAATATTTGTAAAAGCCTAAAAAAACATATATCATATATGTTTCCATATTATTTATATTTATATTTATACCATATTATTTGAAATTGAATAAGAAATACACATATACACATATTAAATTAGAAATATATTATAAAGTTTCTACAATATTTAACTGTAATTTATTTTCTTAAAAGACTTTTTGACTTTCATTTCCAATTTCTTAAAAAAGATAACTGTCTTTAAAAAGATAACTGATTGTAATGTATTACATGAAAATTCTGAGTAAATGAATAAAAAGTTACATTAATTAGCAATTGTATCTTTTATTTGTAAATCAAATATTACATTTATTATAACAAATTTAAGTATTATATAATATAAAAAATGTAATAGAATTGTATAACATTATATAATATAAATATTGTATTAATTATTTAATATCGTTTAATCGTTTAATTAACGATATAAACTCTCTTCTAACATTTCAAAATCCCATTGCAGGTGCCTTTTCAAATCGAATTCGTCGAAGTTTCGAAATGTTTTTACCATGACAATTTACTTGCATAATAAATTCTCTTCAATTACGTCTTTTAATTAAGACGCAGTCTGGGGTTACCGAACATTGACGCGGTATGCAACTACAGCTATCCAATTTAGGCTTGAATGCGCGCAGAAATTTGATCGCGTGAAAAGTCGCTCCAAGAAACTTCTTTTCACTTCGGCTGACATAATCAATCTAAATTTTACCTAATCGAATAAATTGTATTTATTATATCTGAAATTACAATATTATTGTCTTAACTGCTTTTAAAAGAACATCATTAAAATTGCTTTAGAAGAATACAATATATGTTAATATTTTCAAAATGAAAAAAGATAAAAAATAAAATATAAATAACAAAGGAAAAAGTATGTATAGACACGTAACAAAATCACAGCAACAAAATAATAGCAACAAAAGTCACATTATAATCACAATAGTCACAAATGTCGTTGTGAGATAATTAAGAGATTATAGTAACATTGATGTTTTAATTTGTGTATGTCATAGCAATGTTACTTTAAGATGTAATTTTCATTACAGCTTCATAATAATATCATAGCGATATGCCGTCACATCTGTGACAAAGCTAACATTCGCACGTCATCATGATTTTACTGTGACTCTTTTTTTATGAGGGAAATAACAGGAAAGAAAGCAATGTTTTTCGATTTATGAAAAAGAATAAAAGGAAAATTAACTGTTAAACTGTGTTCTTCGACGTAGAATTAAAATAATGATTTGCGGTTTATTTTATTTGCAATCAATTCTTGCGTCTAACAATTTGCTCTGTTCGTACAGTATCCTTTGAAATAATTATCTACGTGACACCAGAAACCGCAGGAGATCGTGTGTGACTTTACGCGACGTACATTATTATGATATCCGATATGCAAATGTGCGACATTAATCCGACAGTGGATTATGAAAATCCAACAATGTGATTTCTACGTAGAAATGCAAAATTTATTTGCGTAGCGATCAATGGATTTGTCAACGGCGATTTTGTTTAATTTCGATTGAACAATATTACAAATTCATTTCACTTTCGATAGCCGGGTTTCGTAAGTCATGCGACATTATGCTAAATCGAGTAACGCAGGCGCAGTATATTGCATATAAATGCTAATGTGTTGCAACCACCAGTAAAAATGGCATGAAAGAAATTGTAAATCGTGATGTGGCATACCTTATACGAAAAGAATAATTTTGCTGAAATTTCTAAAAATCTAGCTACATATAAATCATAAAAATGATTTTATTGGAATACGAAAATAATTATTAGGACGCTTAATTGCTTGTTAGAATGTTCAAATTTACTTACTAAGTGGCATTTTAAAAATGAATATAGATAACGCGAAATGCATAGCTTCTATAATGTCAAAATTTTTTGAATTGCTCATCATGCTTGAATTTCTTACACAATAATTTTATTAAATTATTTTAATAGTTTAATAAAATTATTTTCATATCTGTGTGTAGTTAAATTTTTATATACCTCGATATAAACGAAACTATTCTTTCCGTATGGAAATATCATTTCCTCCATGTTACGATACTTGACGCGTAAAAACGTGGCATGTTGCACAATGTCCATTAATAATAGACTAAATAATAAGAGATCGGGATGTGCTTTCAGATATCGGCTTCGGCCGAGCGACGATCTTGTGCAATCAGCAGAGAAAGGAGGAAGCCGAAT